TAGATTTATAATAGTTAATAGTTAAATGCAAAGTAATATATAAATACATGGACAGTGAAGAAAAGTGATTGGAGGAGAAATGCTAAGTGCATTATGGGAAGCCCCCAGCAGACTTAGAATAGAATAGAATAGAATAGAATAGAATAGAATAATCCTTTAATTGTCCCACAAGGGGAAATTTGGTTGTAACAGCAGCCAAAAGACACATATACAAACAAAGAGTACACAGGACACAGAACAGAAACATACACAATTTTTCTTACATATTTACATTATTGGACTTGGAAGTGTTGCTTCAGTTAAATTAATATAATGATCTTGCTCAACCCAGATCTCTGTAAGGCAGAATATATCAATATGTTGATCAATTATTATATAATTTACTAACAAAGAAGAGAGATACTTAATGTTTTACAATCCAATCTTTACTGCTGTTGAAGATGTATTGTTCTTTATGCTTAAATCATTTATGCTGATTTTTTTTATTGGTCTCTATGGACACTGGGTTTTAGGGGGACAATAGGAGTAGAGAAGCTGCAGAGAGGCTTGTAGGACTGCACCTCTGCTTCCAACTCTCATTTCTAGGTGCTCCCATTTTTGGGAGGAGGTAATACATTTGATAATTGTCCTGCTACATAACCCAGGTCCATGTCCAGGTCCTGAATCCAACCTTCAAAAAAGTTCAGACACAGAGTATTTTTCCAAAAGTCTTCAGGATCATAAAGATGTTTTTGTGAAATGTAAGATGTGTTCTTTTCTGTCAGTTGCACCTTTTTTCTTTGAACTCTTCTATGGATGCCATTTTTGCCCAGTCTCTTTCTTATTATTGAATCACAAATACTGACCTTAAATTGAATGAGTTCAGCAGTATTATGGATGTTGTTCTGGTTTTGTTTTTAACCTCCTGGATGAACTAATGTGTTTTTGGAGTACTTTTATAGGCCTGGAAGGTTCACCACTGTTCCGAGTCTTCTCAAGTTGTGGATAATGGCTCTCACCAATGTTCCCTCTAAGCTGCGCACGTGCGCAATTGCGCACTGCTGGC